AGAGATAAAATTTGTCAGTCAATAATGACAAATTGTCCATTTTCCAGAAATACATAACAATTTCAAGTGTGTAAGCATCTAATCATATGGCTTTATACACACACACACACACACACACACACACATATGTAAATATAAATATAAATTAATAAGTGGACAAAATTACAACAAAAAATTGACATTCACCCATTGTGGTGGAAATCTTTAAAAATGACTATCAGTAATTGACAGTTCAAGTAAATTAAGAAAGTAATGATAAAGAAGATTTGAACAACAGAAATTTCAGTTGTGATCTAGTACACCTATGTGATCAGTGCACAATAGGAGAATATCAGATTTTTTTTTAAGGATACATGGAATATTTATGAAAAATGCCTATGAAGTCATTAAGAACAGCTTAACAATTTTTGAAGACCATATTCTCTGGTTCCATCTCAAATAATTTAGAAATTAATAACAAAATATAACTAAAAGAGAAACTCACGTTTATACATTTAAAAATTACTTGTAACTCATGGATCAAAGAGGAAGGCAGGCATAATTTAAAGGATATATAGAATTGAACAATAATGTAAGTAGTAATATCAGAAACTGTGAGGTGCACCTAAACCAGTACTTAGAATGAGATACATCATCTTAAATATCAAAACTAGAAGTGAGGAAAGGCTGAAAACTAATGAGAAGCATAGCTAATTTAAGAAGTTAGGAGTGAGGCTCATGATGACTACAAATTGCTTTCACATGTTTCACAGAGGGAGCAGCACATCCTGCAAATTATTATCTAGTAAATTTTAAGAGAAGGGTGTTTGTTGTCCTATTCTTTCAACTTTTTGTAGGTCTGGAATTTTTCGAAATGGGGGAAAATGTATTTCTTTTAAAATCAAGAATAAGGGAAAGATGTTCATTATCACCACTTCTGTTCATATTTGTACTGAAAGTCTTAATGCAATATGACAATCAAAAATGAAAAATATAAGAATTATTAAAAATTGGCCATAATTTGCAGATTTTATGATGGCCTACATAGAAAACCCAAAAGAATCTGCAGGTAAGTTATTAAATTAGTATGGTAAGATTTCCAGACATAAAGCAATATGTAAAAATCTGTTGCATTTCTACATGTTCAGCAACGATTAGTTAGAAAATATCATTAACAATAGTCACCATTTAAAACAATAACAGAAAAATATAAAGTGCCTAGGAAATAATCAAAGATGTGTAACACCTCAATGGAGAAACTTAATTGAAAGACTTTAAAGAAAGTCTAAAACAAATCAAAATGTGTGTCATGGTTACTGGTAGGGAAAGTCATTTTCATGGATGTCAGTTTTTCCTAAATTCATCTATTATTTGATAACAATTTTAATAAACATTCCAATGGGTTTTTAATAGAAGTTGAAAAAGCTGTTTCTAAATATATGGAAAAACAGTGCTCAGGAATAGCCCAGACACAAGAAGAACAAGAAGATTGGTAGTCTTGCTCTACCACATGTTAAGATTTATGATAATTAGGGCAGTATGCAGAGATAGATGAACCAAAGAAACACAAAGATCCCAGAAATAGACTGTACATGTATACAAACTTTAGAAATGACAGAGGTAGCATTGGAGATCAGTAGAGATACTATTCAGCACCCATGTTTAGTGAGTCCCTGGGCCTGCAATAGTTTTTCTGTGTTCCTTAGGGATTGTTCCAAGAAGTGTGCTAGGCCCTGGGGATATAGGGTAAGACTTCACACCTGCCATTAAATACAAGTTCTATATCTAGAGTGTGATGACTCTAGCTTTCCATGAACTTTCAAAATTATGTGTAAAATTGAATACTAATTTTTCTGGATGAATATTCATCAGATTCTCAAAGGGGTTCCTTGGCTCCAAAATGGTTAAAACTCACTAACTTCCTGACTATATTATACATTTGATCACTGAGTTACCCACTGAGTATTATGACATCACCTAAGAGTATGTGCTATCAAATACAGCTTAGAGTATGAAGGGAGTAGGGGGAGAAAGTCTTCTCAACGAGAAATCCTGAGCTGAGTAAGGGGGAGTACAAAGGATTTGTTCTAGCTATAGAGGGGAAAAAGGAGGGATCTAGGCTAAGAGAACAATGTGTGCAAGCATGGAAACAGAGCCTGGATCATGTGGGGAACCACAACTGTAACTGGATTATGAGTAGTTATAAAGGAAATATAGAGATATGGCAAGAAATGAGACAGGAAAGTTCTGCATCTACCAGATACATTTCATGGGTTTTTATTCTGTGCTAAAGAATAATACTTTTGGCATATTTCCACATTTGTAGAAATATCTAGGAGGAGATTTAAGCTGTTTTGGAGACAGATGTGGTGGAAAGGATTGAGATAGGTCATGTCTAGGGAGACTTGCAGATTTCTGACCTAGTTTGGTGCCATTCCTCACAATAAAGAACTTGGCAAGAAAGGTTGATTTTGCTGTTGTGGTTGTTATTGTTTGGGTGGGGGAGGGGAGGACAACACATGTTGACCTTTCCATGGCAGAAGATCCTGGTGACAGTGCTTACTGGGCTGTATCGTATGTGTGTTATATCATATGTATTATATAGGTGATTGTAAATAAACATTTGATTGAGACTCATTAAACTATAGGTAATAATTAGAAGCCATGGGAAGGAAGAACAGGGTCTGCTGTGCAGAGGGCCAGGGGACTTGGAAGGATGTGCTGCGATTCCTTCTCCTCTTTCTCCCAGCCCTGCACACAAAGTCTACCCTGGCTGCCTTAGATACCCTTGATCAAGGGAACAGAGGAAGAAACTTTTAGGTAATGAAACAGAGAGGAAGGGGACATTGCTTTGGCCACTGATTAGGGCATTAGAAGAGGATGGACAGAGTGGGAAACAGAAGACCTGAGTCCCCATCTCACCAATTTCAGTAACCAGCTGAGTGACCTTAAGCAAGTTACTTATCTCCTCTGATCCTCAATTTTCTCATCTATAGAGTGGGGATGCTAAAATCTACCTTCACTTACAGAGTTGTTATGTGGATCAAAGGAAATCGTGGATGAAATTATTTTGTAGAGTGTAAAGTGCCTTATTACACTGTTGATCAATGTAGGGGTAGATGTGGTGGTAGGGAACTAATGCCGAAACGTCTGTTGAATTGCATGCCTAAGGCAGGCTAAATTCCTTTTACAGGGTCAAAGTTATGTAGTCATGGATTTGCACAGTAGGAAGAGGCCTTAAATAAATAATTTTGTAGATGCAAATGCAGAGATCTGCAAAGGTAATTCACTTTACACTACTCACTCAACATTCCACAGCAGTTTCATGTCAGGGCTTATGCTGGAAGCCAGGCTTCTTCTCTTTAGGTCTGGAGTTCATTCTGACTGAATTAGCACCGTCTTGCAGGGAGACCTTTCAGAAAGTAACTAATATGTTGATGAACATGACAGAATTAAAACAGAGTATTGATACCTGAGGTTGTTCTTATTAGTAGTACTGGACTACTACTCAGTCTTGAACAGAATGTGTTTATTCCCATGCCGAAGAGGAAAGTAATTAGCCTTAAACTGATATATTTGTATCTCTTGCAGATGGTTGGTCTAGGGGCTTTCTTGAAATAATGTAATAATTCAGTGATTATTCAACCAACGTTATAAGAGGGACAGAGCACTGTCAAAATGGGAATGGCTTTTGGAAACTTCTCAAGTGGCTGCCTCCCATCCTCTTCCCCTCGTTTCTACACGATCCTTATAATCAGCCTGCTGCTCTATGGCTTATCCTGCAGCGTACTGAGAAGTTTTACTAGTGGAATTGTGCTTTGCATTTGAATATGTGAGCAGATAGACCTCTGTACTAGTCTTTCAATAATAGTGCCTCATTGGTTCTTGTTCACACTGAAACAGTAAAAGAATCAAAGCCTGGCTTTCAAAAACTATGTTCTTATCATTAAGAATAGAGCCTTAGAAATCAGATTAATAATAATATCTGTAATATATTGAGCTTTCATTGAGTGTTAGAAACTCTACTGAACAACTTACATATGTAATATTATTTAATCCTCAGTAATCCTATGAGGTGAGAACTTTTTTTATTAATATTGCCATTTCATAGATAAAGTAAAATTGAGAAATCAGTAGCTTTGCCCAGTGTCACTCAGCTAGGTTTCATATTTAGGTCTGACACTAACGCTGATGCCCTTTTCCCACTTTTCGGCTATATTGTCCATCTCTGGCAAATCATTTAACTTCCCTTAGCTCACATTCTTCAACTATAAAATGGAGATCACATGAATAGCTGCTCTACCCATCTTCACAGCTGTCAGAAAGATAAAATGTGCAGAAACATTTTTCAAACTCTAAAGTGTTATGCAAATATGTTTTGACCATTACTATGAATGCTGTTTTATAAAGAGCTCTGTAAATGTCTTTGTCTGTTATTATTCATATTGTTTATTGTTGTCATAATAATTATCTTACCTACAACTATGCCTTTTCTTTTTAAAGAGTAAAATTGGCTGTAGTTTCCGTGTTTTTTTTCTGCTACAGCTGTTAGGAGAGAGCAATTGAATGGTTCCCTAATATTGGGGTTTCTGTGATTTGCAAAATCTCACAAACCTTCCAATTTGATATATTTTCTAGGGATATGTGTAACTTTAGTCCCAGGAAGAACGATCTGATGTGATAAATTGTTGTATAAAGGCTTGATATTTTTATATTTTTCAATCTTCTTGTTATTGGCTTTGTGTTAAGTACAGCTGCCACACCGTAACACTTCAGATGCCAGCGTGAAGCTTGTGTGGTTCTGCCAAGTGTCTGATTTAAAGTGATTACCAGAGATCAGTGATCATCCAGCAGTCACAAGTCACGCCAGGGCAGCTCAGAATCCTTGGTTGTGCCCCTGGACTCTATTGTGTCGCTGTTCTCCGAGGCTCAGTGTCGTATATAACCACCTTTCAGTTTTATGGCGGGCGCCTCTGGTGCGGTGTCATCATCTCTTCCCCTCCACTTGTGCTGCATTGCAGGCATTGCTTGAGTCCATGGTTGATGCTGCTGAGAATCTTTGTCCCAGTGTGATGAAAAAAGCCCACATTCGACAAGACTTGATTCGTGCCAGCACCGAAAAGATTTCCATTCCACGTACCTTTGTAAAAAATGTCCTGTTGGAGCAGTCTGGAATTGATATCCTTAACAAAATTAGGTAGGTTTATAATGTTAATAAACCTAAGATCTGCGGTTTCTGTGAATGCAGTGGAGGCAGTTGTAAAGAGGGTTGTTATTGGCTTTATCCATATATAATGTATTTAGGCATGTTTAATAGGCAGAGACTGTATATAAATATAACTGTGCATAATGCATAGATTTTTTACATTTCCAAAATGACCATGTAAATGCCTGCATTACTTAAGAGCATAGAGTTATCTCCTCTCTTTAAGAGCTTTATGTTTAAGAAGGGGGGTACATGTTTGTAATCCCTATTTTCTGCTTCTGAAGTTTATCTTTCACCTTTATAAATCACTAGCTTGAAGACAGAGATCAGTTTGCTGTTGTGAGCAAATACACAGCCGATAAATAGGCAAAGAGGCCCACTCTGACCTTACCTTATTTTCCTTCTGGTTATTTTGGTGGGTTTGTGATACCATGTATATGTTAATGGTGCCTTTGGGATGTTTACATAAATTTCTGTTTGAAAAATATGACAAGATATAAATATTTAGAAGCTGTGATTATTGGACACTTTCCTGAATTTTTCCATGGAGACTGATCACCAGTATTACATTATAGCTCAGTTATTATGAGATCAATTAACTCTCATAATGTCTCTTAGTTGGGGAATCTGATTACTAAAAACTGATTTCAGAAACATTTTTAATTTCCCACTTTAATCATTTCTTAATAGTGATAAAAATATTTAGATGTAGCAGGAATAATAGCTCCTGTCCAGAGAGTTGGGAGTGGTTTTAACACATAAATGACAATCCATAAGGAAAATGAGAGTCAAAAACAAAACAAGCCAAAAATTATAGTATCACTCTGTGGATATCAAAGGCTGACAACCTTAAAGCTGTTAATAGATTATGTAGAACTTTGAGGACTTAGAAGTTCTGCAATAACTGGATGGTCTCAGGTCTAAGGTATAGCTATTTTTTATTATTTTTGTTTGTTTGTTTTAATAAAGCCTCTAGAACCTACTCAGCTGAATTTAAAGCAATTGGAAGGACTTGAGAAATTAAGAAAAGACTTTCAGAGAGTTGTAGGACCCCATAGATTAGCGATTTTATGAACTCTTGCCCTTGCTTGGTATGCTTATGTATCTCTGTAACCTGTGGTTTCAAAATTTTTATTGAGGGCCCCTAAATATTAAGGAGAAAAAAATGTATTGGCCACTATTCTTTATAATAGTGGGTTCAACCACCAAATAGATCATACTCTGATGCCTTTACTGGAGTATTGAAGTCTGTCAAATATGGTCACTTTCTTTGAAATGGGCAAATCCTAAAAGTTGAACAGGAATGAATCAATTTTATGCTCATTGACTCCTTACTTGGCTGTTTGTAATGCATTATACTGAGCATTGATAGAATGAAAATATGCACACCCACACATGTTTGTATATATTCATATACATGTGTGCACATGCAGGTCAAGTTGATTCATTTCCTCTAAAACTTTTGCAAACTGGAAGCTCAATAAGGAAGTGTAGTACCCAGTAGCAAAATAATAGAAGAATCCTGAGACATTCAAAATAATTGCATTTTTAAGATTCTGTCTTTTTTGGTACTACAATTTGGAACAGTTAAACCATTCCGCCCCACCTTCAGTGAGAGGGAGAGAAAGAGAGAGACAAACTATTGAACCTATAGTTTTATAGTTCCCAAACACGCCTAAAAATAATCAGAGGAAGTATTTACAGTTAGATTTCTAGGCCCCTCTGGAAATTTGGGATGGGACCTAGCAATCTGCATGTTTAATATGAGACCTGGGTGACTTACCAGTGGACACCTCTGGGGAATAATAAATGAAGTATGAGATAAACCAAATAGCTAGTGAGACCTTGTTTCAGGGATGGGAATTAAAGAAACTTCCTTTTATCTTTAGCCCAGAAAAATTTTTACTATAAGGCATCAAAGAGTTTGTGCTTCTTATTCTTCTGCCCCATCATCAGAAACCTTCCTGTGCAGAGAAATCTCCATACAAATTATTGCCTTTAGGTTAGCAAGATTTTTCCCTGTACAGAAATATACTTTCAACTTCAGCTTACGAGACAATATTGGAATATGGGTATATATCTCTCTAGCACATTTACCTTCAAATATATCATGCATTTATGTACATTTGTGTGTATGTGCATTAAGTTATTCTGACTGAAAACACACATGGAAGTTGAATTCTTGGGAATACCAAATTGTGAAAATGCTAACTAAAATACCAGCCATCTAACTGAAACGTTAGTGGCTGCATTTGTTTATTAGTGAAAGCTACAAGCCACTTTCTGTATCTGAGCAACTTTCTGAAGTCAGGCAAGAGGCACCAAAACTGAAAATTTTAGGAACCTCTGTTCATAAAAGAAAAGGGCACTGTGAATTTGTAACCATTCAAATTAAGAAGGTTAGTCAAAGCAGAAGCAGTGTTAATATGATGCCATTTGATTGGTGAGAAGTTTTTTAAAAGGGTGGGGGATATGCATATTAAAGCAATAACTGATTTAACAACTAGACTAGACTTTCTTAATTTACTCCAGGCCACATTTGTTTTCATTTATATCAATGGATGAATTGTTCCTCACCATGTGGTACATCTGGTTCCCATTAAGTTTGTCTCTATTCAGATGTTTTTCATTTCTACCATTAAATCTTGGGTTTTGAAACTGCAGAAGCAGGTTGAAATTGGTGAAGAAAGTCTATTACCTGTGTGTTTATGGGAGTGTTTAAGGCTTATTTTTAGAAATCCTTAACCCTGTTCACACATTCTTGTATTCCAATATTCAAAGAGAGAAATGGAATCACAGTTGACCTTATCAGCAGAGCATCAAGGGTGGATGATTCTTTTCCCTTTGCACATATTAAAATGCTGCTCTATCCTTTTGATTTTCACATAGTGAAGTAAAGTTGACAGTGGCTTCCTTCCTGTCTGATCGAATTGTGGATGAAATCCTGGATGCACTCTCACATTGCCATCATAAACTGGTGAGTGCTGTGCACGTGTTGGGCAGGACCTCCTGTTTCAGCTCTGCTGAGATGCAAGATGGCCTCCAGCATGAGGGTGTAGTTTCTTTTCTACATTTTACTCCTTTGCAGATTTATGGGTTAGGATCCTAGTTTTCCTCATGGCTCTTTTACATAACTTCTAGCCATGCTGGAGCATGTTTCAATTTCTCAAGAGGGAATGATGGGAAAATAAAAGTGATCATATCCAGAAATCTTGTTCATTTATAATACACACCAAAAGTTTTGGTAGGAGATAATGTTGAGACTGAGGTCCAAAATTAACATTTTTAGTTTATTTAATGTATCTGTGCTCATTTTGTTGCTGTCTGATATGATTATTTGAGGATGGACTATTCTGAAAACATGGGGGAAAATGAAACATTTGGAGTCTAAAGAAAGTACAAGAGTAGAATGGGCATAATCTAGTGATAGCTGCTGACTGCCCAGCAGGTGCCTCAGATATAACCAAGGTGAAAAAATTAATTTCCTTCATCTAGAAACTGGTTCTATATCCAGGTAGGGGACTTTACTTCCAATATCAGTGTATATGAAAAAATATATCAAAAACTTCATGTTTCTCAAACTTCGGGAAATTTTCTGAGGCACAGATGAATTTCTTAGAACCGGTTGTATGTTATGTCTCAAAAATATTAGCAATATGATACAGTAGAAATCTCCCAAGCAAGTTATAACAGTGTTCTAAGAAAAAAATTCAAGTTAACTGTGTAGGATGGAGATATCCAGTTTCTTGGCATTGAATTGTTGCATGATGCTGGAGAACTGAAATGAGAGGAGCAGCAACAGCTTCTTCTACATGAAGCAGACAAAATGCATATTTCGAAAAATTCATTTGGGAAAAATATATAAGACTATCTCCTAAAATTTAGAAGAATAAGACAGACGTCTCTAGTGCCACTACTCAAAGTATTGCCTATGGACCAGAGCTAGCCCACTGATGGCTCCCCAAGAAGCAGCATTGAGAAACGTCTCGAGCAATTTGACATGGCCACAATATCCAAATACATGTTATTTTTCTAATTTTTTATTTTTATTGTATCTTGTCAATATATTGGTTTGTGCCAAATTGGACATATAAAAAACTGGTTCGTCATCACATTGAATTTAAGAAGTGCTAGTCTCTAGTTCCTGACATGGTAAAGACCTACATCAATTCAGGCTTTTCTTTTTTTAATAAGCACACAAGCAAAATCAAAAAAGCATCATTTTAGAAACAGTTTATTGATAACCCATAGCTTCAGGAACTGCCTCAAAATGCTCATGTGATGACACAAATACTGGATATTGTATCGACATAACTGCATGTGACAACTACACTGAAAGTTTGAATTTTTCACTTCTTTGCATTTGTCCTTTTTTGAAGAATTTACTCGGAGAGTATTGACTTTTTTTAATTGAAAATGAATTGTGTGTGAATGTACTTTTGTTTCAGTTTGAACTTCATTTTAGCATTAATACTGATGATTTGGATTATAAGGAAAGAGATTAAGTACTGTATGAAGAAAATAGTGTCATCAAAATGAAACTTTGTTTTCAGTGACATTCAGACACCATTTTCTTCAACTTAAATTTAGAAGTCTTCCCAAAGGTTTGATGGACTTGTCAACTGGTTTTCATCATTTGAAAATAATTAAAGTTCCTGGTGTTGGATCAGCTTAGCACTGGAGTTTTTTAATTTCAGCCCAGTTTATTCTACCTCTTACTGTTTAATTTTTAATGTTTACCTAAAGTGTAACACTGCACTGGAAATTAATATATCAAATATGGTAATCATTATATGAAAACAGTGACAGCTAGCAATAAATAAAATTCTGTTACTGATTTCCCTCCTTTTAGTTGTTTAAAAATAATGAAAGTTGGAATCATTTTATTTCCCTCAGATACTTTTAAGCACTAGATATAGGAGATTCCTTCAGAGGCAGTGTCAAATAAAATTAATAAAAAACACTATTTTATTCTAGACTAAGTAGTTTCCTCATTTACTAAGGGAGGTTTGTAATTTCTTTCTTAAAACACTCTGCTCTCCAAAAAAAGATAATAAAAGAGGTAAGTTATTCTGTTGTAAATTTATTAAGAATTGACCTCTAGGAAAAAAAAGACTTGTCATTAACCACTTGTCAGCATAGCCCCCCGCTGCACCATCTTGTGGAAGACATCTTAAGGAGTCCGGCTAAGCAGCTCTTTACTTGTCTCTGTACTTTAAATTCCCCTTGTACATGTCTTGACCCTCTAGGCTGACCATTTCAGCAGACGTGGCAAGACCCTTCCTCAACAAGAGTCCTCAGAGATCGAGCTGGCTGAGGAAAAGCCAGTTAAACGCTCCATCATCACAGTGGAGGAGCTAACAGAGATAGAGCGTTTGGAAGATCTGGATACCTGTATGGTAAGACACAACCTTTGGCGGCACCATTATCCCAACTGGACTGTGCTGTTGTTTTTTTAAAAATATCTCACTTTTTGAAATCTAACCAAACAATCCCATCCCCTTCTCCCAACCTTCCAAGACACTTCTTTCAGAAACTTGTTGCCATGCAGAGGCTGCTAATGAAGCTAATAAAGCTTAAGCTTCGGGCCCCCAAATTTGCATAGCCCCCTTCTAAGGTCCTGTAGCCATAATAGAAGAAATTCCTAAATTAATTAGGAGAAATGGATTAAGTAACTTCTAAAGGTCCTTTGTAACAGGAAAATATCTTTACATGAAGCTATAAATAAGCCATACAAAAATGGGAAAGGACCTTTTCTCAACTAAAATATGTAGGATGACTATCTGTTTCTTGGTCCTATCATTTTTTTCTCTGTTGCTGGTTCCTGTTTTTTTGTTTTACAATTTTTTGGTACACCCTTGAATTTGGGTTTCCTGTTTAGATGAGATTCTCTTTCATTCTCTTCACTTGATGTGCTTTAGAAGACAGAATACACACTGAAGTGTTTACTTAGCAGTAGGTCTTCATTCCTTACCCATTTCTAAATTTCATGTGGTACATCCATCTGGCCCTACAAAAGCATTTAGGTTGTTGATACTTTTTTACTCTGAGGATAATTTTACTTCAGTCCTTCATTATTTTAAAATTTATATTTATCACTATAGCTACTTCTCACTTTACTATGAAAACAGTTGTATGTGCCTATTTAATCCTCTGGATTCAGTATGTTTATATTTTCCTAAAATATTTACTTTTTAGTAATTCCTTATAATCTGAGACAATGGTGGTAAGACTAGGTTTCAGTTACTTATATCCCCAAACGTCCCTACATTAGCTTTTGATTTTAGTAATTTTTAGATGCAGCCATTGTTAAGGAATAGTACTTATTTTTGTGGCCAATACTATTTTTCTATCCAGGAAGACAATGAAATATGTTAAGAAGTTTCCTTATTTATAAACTGCTATTATCATTTTGTAAAATATGTAAATAGTAAAATACTCACCATGTAAAGCCCTGTTATAATAGGGAGAGTTACAAAGAAAGTCTAAAGTGTAATCCAAGATTTCAAGTAACATTCTAATATCACTAAATAAAGCTGAAAAATAATTTTTTATGCCACTATATAAATCTACAAATATATTTGATCTGTGTGGAGGGCATTATCAAGTTTTTGAAACTTTGCTTGTCCAGTACATTATAAAATGTATATTTCATAAGTATTTTAAATCTGTTTGCATTTTGAGGCATTAGAAGTCAGACACTATGTTATCATAGGGTAATTGTCCTGGAGAGCTCTTAGACTAGCCCTAAAAGAAAATAATTAATAGGAAATAGATTTGAATTAAAAATTTAAAATTAACTCTACATATCATGTTTCCTGTCAGAATTATTGGTCATGTGTAAGCTAGAAAGGGATGAAGGAAACACGAGCTAGTGAAATGTGTTTTACTGGGTTTATAGGTGATGCAGTTGGGGATGAGGGAGAGTTGGTTGTGAAAGGTTGGCTCAGCTACTGTAACATTGGTTTTAAGTTGTGTAGGCTTTGTTTGGAAGTAAATTTGTTTTTTTGTTTGATTGATTTGATTTGATTCTGTGAAAGAGAAAAAAAGGTTGTTATCTTTAAATAAAGTGGGTGGGGTGAGGGTAGTGGAGAGGAATCATTTTTTAAAATGCAGATGCAGGACCTCTGTGAGAACCTAAGAGAGAGGCATGCCGCAGGCGGACCCCACATGGATGGGCTTCCGTGTTGTAAAAACATCCATGTCGTCATGATGCAAAAAGAGGCAGGAGTAGCTGTAGATCTCTTTGAACGGAACTCTCAGGACAGCTCGGGTTAGGAGGGTGGTATTTATGTGGTTCAGAGGGCCAAGGAGGGTAAGCAGTGAGGGCCAGTCCTGAGATGAGCACCTGTTGAATCCTAGGATGAGGAGCAGGCCCCTGGGTGTGGAGGGAGTGACAGAGAAACCCAAGACAGATCTCTCTATGGAAAAACAAAAACTTAGATGATCAGACTTTTTAGCTGTGATAATAGCATTTTTTTTCTAATATATTTTTGTCTTCAATCATTGTTCTAACTAATAAGTTGTTAAGTAGTAGAAAACCAGAGTTAAGTTTGCTTTTAGTTTAATGAAAAAGAGTATTTTTGTGTAAAAAGGGCAAGTCAGTGGGTTTCGTACTATAATGATTTCCTCTATACTCTCAGCCTAATTGTCAATTCTAAGCCAGCCAAGATAGCACCATTTACGTGGCAGCAGCTACCCCAAGTGCAGGGATCTCTCTCTTAAAGGAAATCTATTTTCTGAGCTTTGAGTATCTTGTTCTAAACCAGTGGTACAAGCTCACAGCTAATTTGGAAGGAGTAGAGCATTAGATTGGTCTTTTAAAATTACCTACCCTTCCTGCTTTCATAATCAAAGTAGCAAATCATTATTGTTTATCATTGACATCTGTTACCAGATATTTCAAGTTGTGATCCTCATGTCGTGCCATGGGGTGGTGGGGGGAGTTGCAGCACGTATGTCAAAGGGAGTGACATTTAATTTGTGATGGTTCTCTAATTTTCTAAATGAGCATATGCATTTTTCTTGGCAGCATTTCTATCTTAAGTGATCCAGAAAATTAGGACACAAAAGTAACTGTTGTGTGGAGCATTTCAGAAGCACAAGTACATAAATACATGCATTTAACCTTACCGTCATGGAATTAAAAGCAGGTAGAAATTGTGCCAGAGATGGAGCTAGAGCACTGTTGAATTTGATTGCTTTGGGTGATGTTGTAACTTTACTATTACCTAAAATATTGTTTTAATAGCTCAAAGAACTGTGAAATTTCCCTAGGATATTCCAAAGTAACTTTGACACATCACCAACCTTCTATTCACGGATTTAAGATTGTTAACAGATCCTGGCACTTTTTGTCCAGAAGGTCATGACATCTACTAAATCCATTTTTGAACATTTCTTTAGCAAACCTAGTAGAGATGTAGCCACCTCTTTTGCCCCTGACCTTGGATTTCTAATCTTCATGTTTTCTTCCATTTCTCCCTGATCCAAAAGTCAATTCCACTTCAGTGCTTACGTGTCTTTAAAGAACCAGTAGTTATAATTGCACTAGGGAAGGTTTAAGGGCATAAGTTAGGCATAGAAATTTATGTTAATTTGAATTTAAGGATTACATTCCTGGAGTTGGAAACAATAATCCATATGATTGATTTCTTTGAAAAGAATTCATCACTTAGTCAACAACTATTAAACTTTTGCTTTGACTAAGTGAGGGCTGAAATTATAATGATTGAGTGATTCCATGGGGAATTGAGTGATTCCTGTTATCTGCTGGAGGATGACCAAGCTTCTAATCAAACTTAATTTTATAAACTTAAAGAAGGCTGTTCTTTTGAAATAGAGTGTCAGAAAGAGGAATTATTTAAAAAAAAAAAAATCTGTCTCCAATAAGATAAATTATCTTTTTCTTTTAACTAGTAAGAAACTAAAAGGTAATCTAGTTCACCTGGTGGGATAAGGTGGGCAGGAGAGGATCAAGAACTATCAGAATAACCTGCAGGGTTTTCAACCTATATCCACTCTCACAGCCCAGAGGTTCATTCTGACATCCGTTTAACTCCAGAGCAGAAAACCAAATGGTTTAAAAACTCTTCTTCATGTTTTAAAACACTTGTGTAGTACCTATGACATGCTTGGCAGGATTCTAAGCTTTTTATGACTATTAACCAATTGAATCCTCATAACAACCTATGAATAATTCTTATTCATGTCTTCTATTTGACAAATGAGGAAACTGAGGCAGAGCAAAGTTAAGTAATTTGTCCAGGGTTACCCAGGCAGACATTTTGGTACCAGAGTCTGTGCATTTAACCAGCCTTCTATAATCAGTATATAGATTTCATCTGTGATATTTCCTACAATCAGAATTAAATTTTGCATTAGATTAAATTACACTGCACTGATTTCTGTGAGATAGATGCTTGCTAATCCCAGATGAACTTGTGAAAACAAGTGAAAGGCATAGTGTTAGATAACATAATGAAAGCCTGGAGTTTTTAAACATTGTTGGAAAAAAAATGTGTCAAAAATCTGCCGTGCTCCATTGTTATCCAATTGTTAAAAGTGATTTTTCCCACTTTTGGCTTACCTGGAACAATCTGTGCCTTTCTATGTGTTATTTTGTTAGTGACAATGACTAATTAGCTTTCCTATATAGTTCTTATCATTTCAACCCACATAGCTTACATGTCATGCTGAAATGTGTATTTCTTTAGAATCTTTCTTGTTCACAGACCATCTGTTCTTCTCCTGCAGTCAGGTGCTCTTAGGAAATCAGTATTCATAACTGTATCTTTCAACTTATTGGCCCTTGGGGTATTGAAGAATGCAGTTCTCACTCTAATGATTAGTTATCTCTAAATATTTGATTTGCCACCATGTATAGTATACTACCTTTAAAAAGTAGCAGAATTTTGGGGTTTAAGGTAGTGTGCCAAGTCAGTGAAGAGCCAGTGTCTGCTCCTTAGGCGTAATTAGTTCACTAATTGTATGTAATTCTTTCAATTATTTTAATGAGTGTCATACCCATTTTAAATCGAAAGATATTCATGCATAGACGCAGTTCATCTGCCTATTCCTATTTCCTAGGAAAAGAATTTTAAAAGACTTGAATTATTACAGAATATATCTTTGGGAATCCTATCTCCAACGATAAAATAGCAATTATTTTCCCTTAAAAAATTCAACCTCAAATTTCAATATATAATTTTTAATCTTTTTCATACAGACTAAAGACCTTTATCCCTGCAGGAGACAGAGCAGACTTCACCCCCAGAGCCTTAAAGCTCCCAGTAGGAACCAAACTCCCCACAGAGAAGATGGGGAGTACTTAAAAAAATCCTTCCATAAAATGACTTCAAACATTAACCAGTTGTGACTAGTCAGGGTTATTCCAAAA